ATGTGTTTTTTTTAACCTTAAACCGCATAAACACATTTCATTACACCAAATACACAAAATAATGTTCTTTTTTAGCAACGTTATATGACCCCTTTAAATAAACTGATATTATTTTTGTGACTAACAAGCCACTGTTTATGCTACATGAAACTATTCCTGAAATTGGATTTGTCTGGCTTTTGTAGGACCTTGTATCCTGGATGCCTTATTGCAGCATGGTCCTTATTTTCACCTACATCATCTTCTTCTCTAGCGGGCCAGGTACATCCACACATTTTTCTCCTGCAGTGAGAAGTTCAGATGCTTGTTTGTGGCCTTATTTCTTAGCAATACTCTTGTGAATTCTCTCTTCCACAGCCGGGGTGACAGCACCACTTCCTGGTGAGATTTTCACACAGTCCTATAAACCACCAGCATTCATGGTAGCCTGCATCCTCAACTGGGTGGGACTCTTCCTGGTGGGCATGTTGTTTCCTCTCATAGTGGTGAGCCTTTATAATTTTATGGCTTTGTGACCTGTTTTTTGTTGTTGTTGAAAAATGAAAGGTGCAGAAACATTTTACACATAGAGAAATAGTATGTTTGAAAAATGTTTGAAAGATGTGCACACACAAGTTTTAGTTCATATTAGTAGCCTAATAAAAACAGTTTTTAAATTAATTCTAATAGGCTTCATCACGCAGTGAATGCTTTTGAACTCTCAAGACGTGTTTTTGTTTGTTTTTTTCAAAGTGAGTGACATACTTGATAATGTCAGCTTGCATATCGTTAAAACAACAATTACGATTTTATCGTAGACGATAAATATCGCACACCCCTACATGGAGCGGGTCTCTTTATGGAGGCTGCCATTTTGAGATCACATGAGCAGATGAATTGTACTGAGTTTATTTGGTTACTCCTCTTGTTAGGCAACACTTTCAGGCAATTAATCATGCCTTAATGTAAAATAGTGCACTTCTACATTGGAATCTGTAGCTGAAAACGTGTGCTTTTGCATACATTAAAGGGTTAGTTCACCCAAAAATGAAAATTCTGTCATTAATTACTCACACTCATGTCGTTCCAAACCCGTAAGACCTTCGTTCATCTTCGGAACACAAATTAAGATATTTTGACCCTCTATAGACAGCAAGGTAACTACCACAGTCAAGGCCCAGAAAGGCAGTAAGGGCATCATTAAAATAGTCCATGTGACATCAGTGGTTCAACTGTAATATTATGAAGCTATGATAATACTTTTTGTGCGCAAAAGAGTACCACAACGCATGCGCGTGCTTTCCTCTGCTCGTAAACAAGGCACAGCGCATGCGTGTTCTACGTCAGCAGCATCACGCGCATACGTCGTGTTACTTTCGATAATGACGGTAGATGGTAACTCGCGGGAGAAGAATTGTTGAATAAAGTCATTATTTTTGTTTTCTTTGCGCACAAAAAGTATTCTCGTAGCTTTGTAAAATTACGGTTGAACCACTGATGTCACATGGACCATTTTAACGATGTTCTTACCACCTTCTGGGCCTTGAATGTGGAAGTTACCTTGCTGTCTATGGAGGGTCAGAAAGCTCTCAGATCTCATCAAAATATCTTAATTTGCGTTCCGAAGATGAACGAAGATCTTACTGGTTTGGAATGACATGAGGGTTAGTAATTAATGACAGAATTTTCATTTTTGAGTGAACTATCCCTTTAACACCACTAGGGACAGTATAAGTCTAAGATGACATAAAATGACAGAATACACCATTGAAACTTATTCACAGTTAGTTATTCCTTTCTAATGTATTTTTCCATTGCAGGAGCATTTGGATTATTTCTGCTTCCTCATATTTTTTGTGTTCTGCTTCTTCTCTGGCGTTTTTGTGTGGTTCCACGTGCCTGAGACAAAGAATAAAACTGTTCTGGAGATCACAGAGGACTTTAAGAGAATGCACCAGAAACGCAGACACTCACTACAGTCCAAACTGAGCTCAATACATATAAACAACATCCAGACCACCATATGTACCAAGCTTTAGCACCAGTTCAGAATCAGTCATGTAGTCAAATCAGACACTGACCAATAAAAAGTCATTCGTTCTTTAGGCTGACAGCTGTGTGGTCTGTTCGGCTATTCTGTTGGTGACATCAAGTATGTTAAACTGTAAGCCACATCCCATTTGTAAACTCAAAATCCAATTTCAATTAGAGGCGAACTGAATGTTGAATCAATATATTTGTACTTTGTCATGCCAAGGGACACTGATTTAGGTTTGGCCTGATACGACTGCTGTGGTGCAATGACTTTATTGACACTGCTCCTTGGATGGCTCTGTAGAGTGATTAGTAAGGCTTGAGTATCTATCGAATCCTCAGAGGTGTGTTGACCTCTTACCACACTATAAAGTTATCAAATTAAATATTGGACTACACCAAAATGACTATGTAATGTGGCATCTCTCATAAATCATATATATGAGGCTCACTTAAACTGCTCAGAAAATTGCCTTAATGTTTATACCATGTGGCTGTTTTATTCTTTTATTCAATTACAGTAAATGTTTTTCATGTGGTCTTATTTGGATTGACTATTCCAAAAAAAATAAAGATATTCAAAAACTAGCAACCATAAAAACTGAAGAAATCTTTTTTTCTTCGGATGAACACACACACAAAAAAGGATATTTTGACAAATGTTTATAACCAAACAGTTGTGGTTACTGTTGACTTCCATTGTATGGACAAAAACACTTGAAGAAAAAAAAACTAATATTGTTTTTGTTAATTGAAATATCAAATAAAATGCAAATATTAGGTGAAAACCTAAAAACTTAAATGAAAATGAGAAATGTTGCCTTGGCAACTAACTGAAATAAAATTAGTTCAAGTACTAAAATAACTAAAACTAATATAAAAATTAATTAAAGCTAAATAGAAATGGAAAAAAAGTATAATAATTGAGCCCATAAATTAAATCTTAAACTAAAATGAAACCTGAAAATATGAAAATAAAAGCCAGTTCAAAACATTTATTAACAATATAATAATAGTATTTAAAAAAAACTAATAAAATTGACAAAAGCTCATACAATTAAAACAAATTCAATTTAAAATTAAAACTGAAAATTATAAATAATAATAATAAAATGAAAGCTGATTCAAAATATTTATAAATAGTATAATAATAATATATAATAATAAAATATCACTACTAAAATTTTCATTTTGGAGTGAACTATTTGAACTATTTGGTCTTTTCAACATTTAATCAGTAAAACTATGAAGAAACCGGGAAAAAAATGATAATTATAATAATTGATTATAATCATCATAATCATAATAATAAAATGTACACATTTGCAACATTTAAAACTCACGTGACAACTTTTGCCCCGACTGGTTACTGAGGTATAGCCACTGTGACAACTTGCGCCGGCGTAAGGGACGTACTCTCTTCTCCTGAATGTGAATGAAGGGAGGAAGGCTGCGCTAAATGAAATATTGATGCGAGGTTAATTGTAAATGCTCATGACTGTGGTGAGCCCGGCGGTATTGATTGCCAAGTGTTTGGACGCTGAACGTGAGCTTTGCGCGTGCGGCGCTCTGATAACACAATCTACTGCTCGAGCCGCGCGTCTGTTGGTGACATCAAGTATGTTAAACTGTAAGCCACATCCCATTTGTAAACTCAAAATCCAATTTCAATTAGAGGCGAACTGAATGTTGAATCAATATATTTGTACTTTGTCATGCCAAGGGACACTGATTTAGGTTTGGCCTGATACGACTGCTGTGGTGCAATGACTTTATTGACACTGCTCCTTGGATGGCTCTGTAGAGTGATTAGTAAGGCTTGAGTATCTATCGAATCCTCAGAGGTGTGTTGACCTCTTACCACACTATAAAGTTATCAAATTAAATATTGGACTACACCAAAATGACTATGTAATGTGGCATCTCTCATAAATCATATATATGAGGCTCACTTAAACTGCTCAGAAAATTGCCTTAATGTTTATACCATGTGGCTGTTTTATTCTTTTATTCAATTACAGTAAATGTTTTTCATGTGGTCTTATTTGGATTGACTATTCCAAAAAAAATAAAGATATTCAAAAACTAGCAACCATAAAAACTGAAGAAATCTTTTTTTCTTCGGATGAACACACAAAAAAAGGATATTTTGATTTTTTTTTATAACCAAACAGTTGTGGTTACTGTTGACTTCCATTGTATGGACAAAAACACTTGAAGAAAAAAAAACTAATATTGTTTTTGTTAATTGAAATATCAAATAAAATGCAAATATTAGGTGAAAACCTAAAAACTTAAATGAAAATGAGAAATGTTGCCTTGGCAACTAACTGAAATAAAATTAGTTCAAGTACTAAAATAACTAAAACTAATATAAAAATTAATTAAAGCTAAATAGAAATGGAAAAAAAGTATAATAATTGAGCCCATAAATTAAATCTTAAACTAAAATGAAACCTGAAAATATGAAAATAAAAGCCAGTTCAAAACATTTATTAACAATATAATAATAGTATTTAAAAAAAACTAATAAAATTGACAAAAGCTCATACAATTAAAACAAATTCAATTTAAAATTAAAACTGAAAATTATAAATAATAATAATAAAATGAAAGCTGATTCAAAATATTTATAAATAGTATAATAATAATATATAATAATAAAATATCACTACTAAAATTTTCATTTTGGAGTGAACTATTTGAACTATTTGGTCTTTTCAACATTTAATCAGTAAAACTATGAAGAAACCGGGAAAAAAATGATAATTATAATAATTGATTATAATCATCATAATCATAATAATAAAATGTACACATTTGCAACATTTAAAACTCACGTGACAACTTTTGCCCCGACTGGTTACTGAGGTATAGCCACTGTGACAACTTGCCCCGGCGTAAGGAACGTACTCTCTTCTCCTGAATGTGAATGAAGGGAGGAAGGCTGCGCTAAATGAAATATTGATGCGAGGTTAATTGTAAATGCTCATGACTGTGGTGAGCCCGGCGGTATTGATTGCCAAGTGTTTGGACGCTGAACGTGAGCTTTGCGCGTGCGGCGCTCTGATAACACAATCTACTGCTCGAGCCGCGCGCAGCAGCCAAACTTCACTCGTGTTCGCGTGCATCCCACATACGCCCAAATTACGCACATAGGGCTCCTGTTTACATGCCAAACCCAAGGAAAACGTACACTGGTGATGTCAGCATCATGGTACAATTTAAAGAGGAGTCTCAAAGAGGAGTTTCGTGACAGCTTCACACTGCTGGTTATAATAATAGCGAGAGATTTGTGGAGCAGACCGCACTCTCGCGATGGAGCCGCGCGCCGCCAAAAGAGAAATCATTCAGAGGTAAGAACAGGTACTTTTACACATTCATCCAGGTGCAAACAGCAGCGTTAAACCAACCGCCGAGTCACAGCTCTTAGTATTTGTTTGTTTTAATAAGATGATAATATACTTTAGCTCCACTGACAGACTTTGGGCTTCTTGCTTTAATGGATATAGATTGACTTACAGCATCACACACTTTGGACGAATGCCCCAGATAATATCTAAACGAAACGTACCTCTTTCAAACAATAACACCATAAATCTTTCTTAAAACAATAACTGCTAATTTAATTTTAAAGATTTTTTTTTAAAGGTGTTACAGTGTAATTACATTACTATTACTACTGAGTAATATGTACATACTACAGGGTTTGGTTTAGGGTTGGTTGATTGTAATTGTAATTTACAGTTACTCTTATAGTAGGTACATGTAACATATAAGAAGGACACCGTAAGATTAGTATTCTTTAAGTAAGTATTATTTGTTTACTTATTTATTCATTAATTAATTCATGTACTCATTCATTGAGTTAGCTGGTCCTGTTTGTTTGATTACTCTTATCTATTTAAAGATTAAAGACTGATTGTTTCTGTTCTCTTTGAATAGTTAGTCATAGATGAGCAGTCACATCTATTTCAGATAATTCACTTTTTGTCATCATCAAGGTTTTGGACATAGACTTCAAGGAATAGTTAATACCTAAAATTATTATTATTTTTACTCCGTATGACATTATTTTTTCTGTGGAACACAAAAGGATGAGTAAACGGAATGTTCATTTTAGGATGATCTATCCCTTTAGGAATTCATGTTTGTCAACAAACGTGAAAAAAAAACTGACAAGAAAGTTGTATATGACATAGCAAACACATGACTAATGACACAACCTCTTTTACATCTTCAGCTGAACCCGAGTGAGTCACTGAGACTCGACATAAAAAACTAATTGTTGAGAATAAAAACAATAGTCATCAAGCAACTATTTGCTTTTTCAACAAATTTCAAATTGTATCATTTAGAGATATAAATATTGAGATTTGAGATATAAATTGTTTGTTTTATATATATATATATATATATATATATATATATATCTGTGTGTGTATACACGCACACACATTTACATTTAGTCATTTCGCAGATGCTTTTATCCAAAGCGATTTACAAATGAGGACAACAGAAGCAATCAAACCAACAAAAGAGCAACAATATGTAAGTGCTGTGACAAGTCCCAGTTAGTCTAACGCAGTACATGTAGGAAGTTGTTTTTACAATAAATAAAAAGAAAACAAGTAGATAGAATAGAAAAAGAATAGAGAACGCTTGTGTTAGATATATGTATGTATGCTTTATATGTATTTCAACATGGCAGACACTTAATATGTCAAATGAACTATGCTTTCTTGTTAGAATCTTACATAGATCTTAATATTTGATACACAACCCTCAATGGTGACAATCAACAACATAAAACGTGATAAACCAAAAGTGTCTTAATTTCACAACACAACAAATTTGTTCAGACAACTGTGTTTGAGCAGTTGGGAAAAATTTGGAGAAATTCTGTTCTATTCACATATCTTATTTTTTTTTTGCTCATATAAGCATTTCAAGCTTTCTTTCTCATATTCAATATTAATTGACTGTTGAGCTTGTAACATTTAAAATATCATTTGATTTAATCAAACTGCATTGTCTATTTTTAGATTTCTTAGTGAGTACTTTCCACCCTAAATATAAAAACATGACTGGCTTACATAGAAAAACTGCCAAGAAGAGAGTGTGCCAGTTGGCTGTTCCTTCACTCTACGTCTTTACGTCTTTTAAGCGGCAGTTACCTCACACCAGCTGGACTGATGTCATATGTGAGGGACCTGATAAGAACAGACCTAAACTGTGCTGACATGATACATAGTGACATGTGATAAGCACTGCACATGTTTGAATGCAAACACTTTGTAAATGACTACTTTTGGCGGTATAATGTGTTCTTGTAGATAAGCTGATATTGCCACGGCCTAAACAACACTGAGGTTGTGGGTTTGATTATAACTAGAATGCAGTGTAGGTTACTGTGTTATATATATATATATATATATATATATATATATCTGTGTGTGTATACACGCACACACATTTACATTTAGTCATTTCGCAGATGCTTTTATCCAAAGCGATTTACAAATGAGGACAACAGAAGCAATCAAACCAACAAAAGAGCAACAATATGTAAGTGCTGTGACAAGTCCCAGTTAGTCTAACGCAGTACATGTAGGAAGTTGTTTTTACAATAAATAAAAAGAAAACAAGTAGATAGAATAGAAAAAGAATAGAGAACGCTTGTGTTAGATATATGTATGTATGCTTTATATGTATTTCAACATGGCAGACACTTAATATGTCAAATGAACTATGCTTTCTTGTTAGAATCTTACATAGATCTTAATATTTGATACACAACCCTCAATGGTGACAATCAACAACATAAAACGTGATAAACCAAAAGTGTCTTAATTTCACAACACAACAAATTTGTTCAGACAACTGTGTTTGAGCAGTTGGGAAAAATTTGGAGAAATTCTGTTCTATTCACATATCTTTTTTTTTTTTTGCTCATATAAGCATTTCAAGCTTTCTTTCTCATATTCAATATTAATTGACTGTTGAGCTTGTAACATTTAAAATATCATTTGATTTAATCAAACTGCATTGTCTATTTTTAGATTTCTTAGTGAGTACTTTCCACCCTAAATATAAAAACATGACTGGCTTACATAGAAAAACTGCCAAGAAGAGAGTGTGCCAGTTGGCTGTTCCTTCACTCTACGTCTTTACGTCTTTTAAGCGGCAGTTACCTCACACCAGCTGGACTGATGTCATATGTGAGGGACCTGATAAGAACAGACCTAAACTGTGCTGACATGATACATAGTGACATGTGATAAGCACTGCACATGTTTGAATGCAAACACTTTGTAAATGACTACTTTTGGCGGTATAATGTGTTCTTGTAGATAAGCTGATATTGCCACGGCCTAAACAACACTGAGGTTGTGGGTTTGATTATAACTAGAATGCAGTGTAGGTTACTGTGGATAAAAGCAAATCGATAACTGTGAGAAAGGTAGTGTTGACCTACCCATCAAAGTAAAGGAAATAACCTCCTGTCTTTCCCTTCAGGGTGTTTGTGAACCGGAGTTTGACGCTTGAAAACATCAAGTGCTATGGCTTCGACATGGATTACACTCTGGCAGGTGAGAGCGTTTATAGCGCCTTTGGGACAAGCTGTCAGACTATGTGTGAAGTGCTTCGTTCACATCGACTCTCTGGTTTTCAACAGTGTATAAGTCTCCAGAGTATGAGAGTCTGGGCTTTGAGCTGCTCAGGGACAGGCTGGTGTCAATGGGATATCCACACGAGCTGCTGGGCTATATGTACGACCCCACCTTCCCCACGCGGTAAGTGTTGCTCCCTTAATGGGTCTGGATTAGGCTATATCAGGTCAGTGAGCTCATAGTAAAGGCTTTTGAGGCTTGCTGTGTGTCGGCGCAAGCAGAACGTTGACTATGTTTACATGCACATCATTTCTTATTATCCATATTCTGGTTAAAGGGATCGTTCACCCAAAAATGAAAATTGTGTCATGAATTACTCACCCTCCACTTGTTTCAAACCTGTGAGTTTCTTTCTTTTGTTGAGCACAAAAGAAGATATTCTAAAGAATGTTGGTAATCATACAGTTCAGAATCAGTAAGAGCTTTATAGCCAAGTGTGTTTACACACACAAGGAATTCGTCTTGGTGTCAGGAGCTTCCAGTACAGAAAGTACAGACATACATATAATTGAAGATAATAAAACACTAATAATAAAGAGAATAGACAAATAATAATAATAATAACAATATAGTAATAAAATATAGAGAAGAAGAGGAAAGAGAAAAAGAAAAGAAAAGAGAAAGCAGAAGAAAATAGAGATAAAGAAAATATCAGTTGCCGGTAGCCGTTGACTTTCATAGTATGGAAAGAAAATAGTATGGAAGTCAATGGCTACCATCAACTGTTTGGCTACAAACATTCTTCAAAATATCTTCTTTTGTGTTCAACAGAAGAAAGAAACTCATACAGGTTTGAAACATGTGGAGGGTGAGTAAATCATGACACAATTTTCATTTTTGAGGAACATTGCGCCACAAAAAAACTGTTCTGTTGATTTCAATGGGAATGGTGATTCACAACAGGCAAAATTTAAACGACTTAAACAGTAAAAACAGTATAGTAACAACAGTATAGAATGCAATAAAATTCCAAAATGTAGCTCATGGGAATCTTTTAGTCCTTCAGAAAAAAAAGGTACAAAACTGTGGTACCCTTTCAAAAGAACTAGGTATACTTTAGTTACTATGTACTTTTAAAGGGGACATCGGATGCAAAATTCACTTTTACACGGTGTCTGCATATAATGTGTCTTAACAGTGTGTTGACACAACCACCCTACAATGATAAAAATCCATTCACTCAGTTTTTTTTTAATCCACAAAAAAAACTAAACGGTCTCAATTATCAAGCCGTTTTGATTTTCTGAGCAGTATGACATCATAATGCTCAGGCCCCGCCCACGACCGCTGACGGACTGTCCCGTATTAGCATATCTCCGCCCTCAGCCAGTTGTATGCTGTCCACCATTTTCTCCGCGCTCGAGCAGCGGTAGCGACAACAATGTCTCGTAAGCAATGCAGGTGTTTTGTAGATGGATGTAAAAGTGAACATAAGAGTCTTCATTTTCTCCCAACATCAGAGCCACTGAATACACAAAAATGCAGAAGAGAGGGGTGGGGTGAGCAGAGCTCATTAGCATTTAAAGACACATGGTCGCTGTGAACAGAGCTGTTTTTGACAAGGTAAAAAGGGTGTTGTTTTATACAACCAAATATGTTGCAGACATTTCATGAAGACTCTAAAGAATCATACCAATCTGATGATGTCCCCTTTAAAGTACTTATATGTACCTTTAAGGTATATGTACTATTTAGGGGTAAATATGGTACAAAGATTTTTAGCTTTTGTACCTCAATTCCAGTCCTGGGGACCCTCTGCTCTGCACATTTTGAATGTCTCTCTTATCTGACACACTCAGTTCAGTTCATGTATCTCTCTCCTTACGAGCTGATAATCTGATTAAGGTGTGTTAAATAAGGGAGACATGCAAAATGTGCAGAGCAGGGGGTCCCCAGGACTGGAATTGATGAACCAGGCTTAGGGTACCGCTCCAGTGACAGGACTGCATGTTCATTTGCTTTTAAGTCAATGCAAAATGCCATTCATAACTCAAAATCCAGTCACTTCCATCTGAAATTGATAGAATTTTTGAAAAAGAAGCACGTGTAGCAGGAAGGGAGGGATTGAAAAGTAAGAGGGATTTGTGAATGAATGTTGTATTAGAAATGGAGAAAGTTATTAAATTTTGATAAAACTATGAACGCAAGGATTTTTAATATAGAATAATGTGCAGTTAGGAACTGTGCATGATAAGACCAGAAATGTGTATTAAGAAGTCAAAGGATTAGTTTTCATTTATGTTGACTTTATTATTTGGACAAAAGTTTCTATCTTTTGTCTTGTCCTTGAACTGCATAGGTCTCATATCAATCAAAATGATTAATTACACAATTAAGTTAACACATTTACATGATACAATGCTGTTCAAAAGTTTGGGGTCTGTAAGATTTTTTTTATGTATTTAAAAGAAGTCTACTATGCTCAAGGCAGCATTAATTTAATCAAAAATACAGCAAATGAAAATGAAATAATGAATTGTGAAAAATATATTGTGAAATATTATTAATATAATTTAACATAACAGTTATTTATTTGAATATGTTTTAAAATGCTAAATATTTTTTTGTGGAAAATGTGATACAATTTTATTATCCTACTTTTTCAGGGTTCTTTGATGAATAGAAAGGTCAAAAGAACAACAATTATTTGAAATAGAAATCTTTTGTAACAATGTAAAAGTCTTTACTGTCACGTTTGATCAATTATAGCATCCTTGCTGAATAAAAGTATTAATAAAAAAATAAAAAAACTTTTGAACAGTAGTACACATCATCACATAATTCCAATATGAACTTATTTCTTTAGTATAAGACCGTATGAGTATAAATGGACCTTAAGCCCACTTCATTTTCATGTGGAAACCAGTCAGTTTGTAGTCACTTTTGAGCCTATTATAAACCATTTATGAGAGACTTTGTGGGCAACCATACAAATAGAAACGTCCTGCGTTACACCAGTCTCAAGGGTCTCATAAAGCAGAAGGTCGCTTGAGGTCATTATTAAAGCAGACTGAATAGCAAACGCAGACAGTTAAACTCTCTGCTCAATGATACTGCTGAGGGAACTCTTGTACTCTTGTGTTAACTCCTAAGAGGGCCATATTTTGCTATAAATTATTCACTTGTCTGAATGCTTACAGACTCTGGTTCTTTCAAGCGTTCTCTCTCTTTCTCCTCTTCTCTCCAGAGGTCTGGTGTACGATACCACGTATGGGAACCTGTTGAAAATAGACTCCAATGGAAACATCCTGGTATGCACTCACGGCTTTGAGTACCTGAGAGGGTGAGTGAGATGGTTCATTGTGGCGCGGGTCAGTGGTGTATTGAGTGAGAGTTTTCTCACAAATGCCCCCTCGACCTTTCACTGACACCAGAAGATTTCAACAAAGTAGAGTGCTGCGTGGGACAAAACATTAAAGAGAGCCAGGCTGAAAGCCAATAAACCCAATGTGAGGGAACGGCGAGGTCAAGCGCTGTGTAGAAACACTAGCACAGCAGAGCGAGGCATTCAGTCTTTAATATCGCAATTTAATGCATTGAAGTTCTCATTATTGCAATTATTATAGCAATACTTAGCCTAAATGTAATATCTGAATCACAGCACAACTGTTTTCAACATTGATAATAATAAGAAATGCAAATCAGCATATTATTATGATTTCTGAAGGATCATGTGACACTGAAGACGGGAGTAACGATGCTGAAAATTCAGCTTTGCATCACAAGAATAAATTCTATTTTAAAATATATTCAAATAGAAACTAGATATTTTAAACTATAATAATATTTCACAATATTAATGTTTTTACTGTATTTTTGAAATGCAGCTTTGGTGAGCAAAGACACTTTCAAAAACATAAAAAAGGTACACACTCAAACTGTTAAACGGTAGTGTATATATAATAAAATATTTATATCTTATACATCATAAAACATTTAATTTGACCTCCTGAGGTGGATGAACATCAGGGTTAAGAAGAAAAGGTTTTAACCCCTATTTTATAGTCTTTTTGTAGAAAATAGACCCAACCACTCTATTTAGCTCTAACACAGATGATGGACTCATATTAGTAGTGTATTTATATCTAACACCTCACACCTGCCATAGAATAGCATTGTGGAGTGTAGATTTTGCTGTTGATTTCTTAGTATGGCTTTCTGAGACTGATGAAAGAGGTTGAGGACAGGCGTAACTGGACCATTGACCAAGTCCTGGCTCTCCTTTTAAAACACACACCACCAGATTTACACGTTCATATTCACACAGATTTAAGAACAGTAGTGGCATTTTTATTATTATTCTCAAACTTGAGGACAAACAGAGCATGGATCAGCATCGGGAGTGTCCTCGTGTATAAGACAGCATAATAAATGGTGTTTCATCAGACGCCACACGTCGTGGGGTATTGTAGGCACAGTTTTATTTAGCAAGGGATCAGTTTTTTGAGAATAGTAGTTGTTAGAGCTCTCTCAGCACTGGCTGCTGTGACATACAGTATTATCTGGGCAGCTCAGTGGCAGACTGTTACTGCTCTGTCACCAGCTTTCCAATGCGTTTCAAATGCTTTTATATGCTGTATATGGTGTGTCAGGAAGCTGATATACCTGCTGTTATTCTCATTAAAATGTGTGTCTGTTTGCAGCGGACAGGTCGATGAGTATTATCCAAACAAGTTCATCCAGAGGGACGACACGAACCGCTTTTACGTCCTCAACACGCTTTTCAACCTTCCAGGTTCAATGACAGTGACACATTTACATGGTCGAGTGAAAGGATAATTGATTCTGTTAACATGATTTGTCCCTCTCCTGTTCTCAGAGACGTATCTGTATGCGTGCCTGGTTGACTTTTTCACCAAAAGCAGCAGATACAAAAAGTGAGTGAATTATTCTTTAATTGCAAGAGTTTACAGCAATTAAACTCCTTTACTGTCTATCAGACAGCGAGTGATATTCATAATTAGCAATGTTTGCTAAAGTAAGCATCACTATTAATCTTGCTTATGCTTACAGCTAGGGATATCAATAAACCTTTATGATTTCAGATCGTTCACACGGCACATGTTAAAACCCAGAGCACATCAGCAACCAGATAACAAAGCCCTAGCAAGCCAAAAATTATTAAAATAAATATGACAAATTATTAAATATAAAATAATATCTTATTAACCCTGTAAAGCCTGACATATGAAAAAATAGTCATTATATATATATATATATATTAAATGGAACAGCTTTTTTTAAGGAAAAAACACAGTAATATTCAGAGGCACAAACTGAGCAAAAATATGCAATTTGGTGCAGATGTTGTTATTTATATGGCCAAAATGTATGATTAAATTCTAATAGCTTGTAATGTAAATCACATCTTTATGACAGTATAGCAGACTGCTTACATAAAGTACTTATAAATATCAGTTTTCATTCTGTTTATCCCAATAATATGTATTAGTAAGATGATATTTAATTGCTTAGTTTTATGATCAAAGCTCTGTAGGTTTTATTGTAGGACAAAACAATGCAAAGCAAAACGATAATTGAGAGATGAATGAATAAACGTTCCTCAAAAGCCTGATGATCATATTTGATACATTTGAACATGATTTTTCTGAAAAGTGATGTATGGATAATCAAGGAAACTTAAGTTGCTTCAATCCAGTAAATGCTGATCTTGAAATATTACTAGCAATATAAGAATTATTCTTACACTTACTTTATAAAAATCATTAAAAATTTCACAGCAGAAAGACGTGAACCACGACCTGAAGGTGGGAGTATTTTAAACTAAAAGACCTTTTACTTGATTATAGAAGATTATAGAAGGCATGTACTGTAGTAGACTGTGTGCAACCGTTTTTCAGCAAAATGTTGATCATGTTGATAATTTAGAGGCCTTAACTGCTATCCCTGTTGGGTTTATTTTTTGTAAACTTAAAATACGCCCAATAGGTGTCCAAAATCTCACTCACTCTTTCTCTCCCATTCAGTTGCTTGAAAGGGTTCAAACACGGCGACTTGTTCATGTCACACAGAAGCATGTTTCAGGACATTAGGGATGCCATGGATTACCTTCACGACACGGTAACCTATGCTACTTGTTCACCCTCTCGTGAAAGAATTTACTTCAAATTAAAATATGACTTGAAGGGTAGGTGATTTCGGAGAGGCTGTAGCAATAGCAAGCTAGCTTTGAAAGCATAAGATCCCACCCTCCTTGCAAATCACTCTCCAAAGCCACGCCTCCTCGCTCACAGGCAGATGAGAGACGGCGTTGGTGGAGGGTTGAATGCAAACGCTGTCAGATTAGCTCATGTCTCATTCACCGCGCATAATATTACAATAGTAACGCCTTCCATTCTTGCTCGGCCTGCAATAGTGTAATGGACAGCGCTGATCACCCATCATCTCTGAATGAACAGGGTGTGCGGAGGTATGCAAATACATACAATGACAGGCAGGTAGGACAGCCTATGGTAATCTTCAATATGATTGGATGAACATTTTATGGTCCTACACCTTCCACAGACGATATAAATACATATAAATACTTTTAGACCACTTAAAGGGTTAGTTCACCCAAAAATGAAAATTAGCATATGAATTACTCACCCTTAGAGGTATTTGTATGTGCCAAAAGACTCATTCATATATGTATCATTTTGTCTAGCCTCATCTTCCTGTGTTACTGAGCCGCATCAAGGAGGTCGCCAAAGTGTTCCTGGCCACCAACAGCGACTTCAATTACACCGAGGTAAGAAGAGCGCCGGCCCCCTAGAAATAATTTAAACTGCCACTGACAGGCTGCATATCATTGCACGCTATCATTAATATTCATAATTCCTTTTTAATCACACTGCATTACATCTTTTCTCAAATTAGGCAATTATGAAATACTTACTGGATTTTCCGTCTGGCTCTAAGGTAAGCAGCATGATCATGTTTACTCTGAGAAATGGCTTGTGACTGTTCTTGATCGCACACATAAAGATATTCCGATTCTGAAATGACTCCCGTTGTCTAGAACCCCAAGAAACTGTGGCGCTCATACTTTGATCTGGTGGTGGTGGACACGAAGAAGCCCTTGTTCTTTGCAGGGGGGACAGTGTTACGACAGGTAGACACGGTGAGTTATTAATGTTGTGTGCACTGCTACAAACACACAGAAAAAGCTTTGCACTCTTTTAAATAAAGCATTTATTCAGGCAAAAAGGGGGAGTAAAAACTATTATACCTGATTATTTCATTCATAACAATGAGAATATGGGTGAATCTGAAGCCTGTCAAGACCCTATTTTACCCCAAAACCAGAAAAAAGAAAACATTTAGAAACATTACAAATACACTACAAATGCAAACATTACACTTTGGGTAAAGTGCATTCCCCCCCATTTCTCTTTGCAGTGAATTGAAAAGTTTTGTTCTCAGTAACATAAATCCTTCCATTACGTAAAAAATATTATTACCTTTAAATATGCTGATTATAATACAATTGTGTCCAAGAAAAGATGATATAGTTAATATGTCATACAAATGGTCTAAAATGATATAAATTATTATATTATAAAATGTTATTTTATTATAAAATAATAAAAATCTCTATGCTTTATGGGGTGACATAAAACCTAGACATTTCATGATTTTTGCTGCTTAATATTTTTGTGGATTATTTTTTGTGACACATTACCATTCAAAAGTTTGAGATAAGTACAATTTAAAAAATATATATATTTCTTAAATATTCTGCAAGGAGGCATTAAATTGTTCAAAAGTGACAGTCAAAACATTTATAATGTTACAAAAGATTTTTATTTTAAATGAATGCTGTTTTTTTTTTTACTTTCTATTAATCAAAGAATCAGGTAATGGCTGCTGAAAATTCAGCTTTGCATCACAGAAATAAATGACATGTTAAAATATATTCAAATAGGAAACTGTTATTTTCAATTAAAATAATATTTAACAATATTACTGCATGTTTGATCAAATAAATGCAGCCTTGGTTCAGAAAAACAAACAAACCAACAACCCCAAACGCTGAGCGGTAGTATATTAGTAACATTGTAAGCTATGTTGCTTCTTTAACATTGAGTCACTTTGAGTTTAGTGAAATATCAGCAAACATCTAAGTGCGGATTGCACTTAAATCTCATCATTCTTCTTTTGTAGGACACTGGGAAGCTGCGTATCGGCACATACACCGGAATCCTTCAGCATGGGACAGTGTATTCTGGAGGTACTCAGATGTTCTTCTCATCAGGATCTGTTTGCTATGCTTGCACGAATGCACTCCTTTGGCTTATGTCAGTTATCCTTATTCAACCCCTTTCGTAGGATCTTCTGACATTGTCTGTGATTTGCTGGATGTTAGGGGGAAAGACATCCTCTATGTGGGGGATCACATCTTTGGCGATATCCTCAAGTCAAAGAAACGTCAAGGCTGGAAGACTTTCCTGGTGGTTCCTGAGCTTGTGAAAGAGCTGCACGTGTGGGCTGACAAAGCCAGTGAGTGTGTCTAATAAAATACCTTTAATATTTAGTTGTTGTTTTTTTTTTATAAAGAATGGCTGAAAATACTGTTTTTTTTTTTTATAGGTATGTTTGAGGAGTTAAAACATCTTGACATCTTCCTTGCAGAATTGTATCAGTGAGTATGATTTCGTCTCACATAGGTGCAATACTTGACATGATCGATAGATGGCGCAAAGAGGGCTGTTCTTAGTTGACATTAATTCGATTTTTCTTTTTATTATAGAAAATGTGTTAGATTATATTATATCGGCTTTTATGTTATAATTCAAGACATTATTTTGTCTCTTTATGAACTTTTTTTCTGGACGGCAAAACCTGAAACGCACACAAACAAACATCAACATCGAATGAACTTTTCATCTGACCTCTCATTCTATCCATCAGGCATTTGGACAGTGGAAGTCAAGAGTGCCCAGATATTAGTGCAATTCAGAACAGGATAAAGGTGAGCTCTGAGGATCATCTCGTACTTTACTCTGATGTTTTCCCATCGAATGCTGCGTTCATACCGTCAACTACAGACGTTGCATCCATCGATTCCGCCATGTTTCTAATTGACACACCCCCAACTCGGAAACTCGGGGCTTAAAGAAAATTTTGAGTTTCCCACTCGTAACAACGACTTTGTGGTGGCGTTCATGTGCGTTCAACTTGTAAATACGATCTATCCGACATGACTTGAACGCACCATAACTTCTTGCTCTTCATGCAAAATATCCAGAATTTTGTTTATACCAAAGTACTGGAACTGTTATAATAAAGTTGTTCATTTGGGTTTCAGATGGTGACGTATGGCATGGATCTGTGCTATGGGAAAATGGGCAGTCTTTTACGCTGTGGTTCCACCAAAACCCTCTTTGCCTGTCAGTTACTGCGCTATGCGGATATATACTCTACCTCCTGCCTCAACCTCCTAAACTACCCCTTCAGCTACCTCTTCAGAGCCCCTCTTGTCCTGGTAAGCCTGTCCTGCCTAACGATATTGGAATATTATTGTTTTGTCTTATTAATTATAAATATTCATATTTAATAATATTTTTATATTATTATTTCAAATGCAAGTATCAGTAAATATCATGAAACAGGTGCTGGTGTTTTATGTCTTTATTTTGACTGAATGTTGCAGCTGCCACATGAGGCCGCTGTGGAGTCTCAGACTAAAGAGCAGATCACAGAGCTGTCAGAGCACGTGCTCAAAACCACCAGCATCAAGGTTTGAACGGCACAATCACTTCATTTTTCATTCTCATAATTCTGTTATATATTTTGACGTAATTTTGTTGTATTCCTAAAATGCATTACACCCAAACATCAAGTGTTACAATATTGTCCTCCCGTGTTTTCTGTTTTAAATTGAGGTTTTATTTTCCTTTTCTAAATATTAAAGTGATTTACATCATTACATCTTTCCCACACAGCGGCAATGTGAGTGTGAAGACGGTGACTGTGGACAAGAAGATAATTGTGCCCAAAATAACCCACCTACCTCCACAGAGACATGAGGACTGAGTTCTTTCCTTTTTTTTACTGCTCTAAATATGAGCTTTTTATCAAGTGTGCATATACGTTTCACTTTAACATTTTCCAATCCTGCCTTAAAACTGTGTATTTATGTGGCTGAGTTGCAGTATTAGTTTTAACTTGAGTATGATTCCACTTCTGGCAGGTAATTGTGATTAAAAGGAATTTGCCAAGTTCTTTAAGTTAACAGCTTTTGTGTTGTTATTTGTAAAGCAAGTGTAAAATCTTTATTTAACCATTTTATTAAACTTTTATATTCAGTGTATTTAATTTAAGACCTTTGATAGAATGTAACTCAGTCTTTTGTCCGTCAGTCATGAATGCATGGAAACTGAAGAACTGGATTGCAGGATTTTTGAAGTCAAATGTTTATTTGCATATGTTTATAATATCTCCTCCCATGTGACAGAATCCCATACAATAATGCAGGGATTGACATATAATTGAGTAGAAAGTAACTTTAAAAATGTTTCTATGATTTAATAAGCCTATATTTGTGCATTTACAAGCTATTTTTCATAAGCATACTGAAAAAAATATTAAAGCACCATATTTTAGACGCTGTTGTCATTTATTTCTAATTTGATTGAACTCATGAATATTATTAAGACACGTGTAAAAGTTAATTTCCTGTTGTAATGAGTTAAACTAGAGTCGGTTCCTGCAACTTATCAACGGTATTTGAAGATAAGGAACTGTATTAAATCGACAAATTCGGTGATTAAATACGCAAGTAAAAAAAAAATGTAATCTATGGCGTGTAAACTAATCAACAAACGGACATCTTCAGGAAAATCTCTGTACGTTATGCTGTCCGTAAGATGGCGGCAAAGACTAGTGTGCGCACGACCTGACAATGAAGACCTTTCCTTTCACCATAATCAGCTACTGTTAGAACATAATTAGAAAATCATGACTGACTTTGACTTTGTATAAAAGGGTAAACAGCTCGTTTTTAATAAGCCGCTACTCTCTTCATGCAGATCTCGCGCTAATTTGTCTTCATTTCCGTTGCTTCGACCAATTTAACCTGAGAGGAGCGATAATGGCGAACAGTATAAACATTATAAATTATTAATTACCAAATTAACATTTATTACTACAGATATCGATACCTACAATGATAATCATAAATGTAAAGGTATGGAAACAGGTTGCTCCTACTGTGTAAATCAAGCGTTATTAATTACGATATAACTCAAAGAATAGCGTGTTATTTACATTCAAAACGAAGAGTTTAAATTCACAGAGGCCTGTGTGTGAATCACACTTAAACCCTTTCCACGAACACAGCACGTGAGGCATTTAGAGCAACACAGATCGTGATTTTGTTGTGAGAACTATTTTAAACTATTATTGCTTAACTTTAACCTATAGCGGTCCATTCAAATGGTGATTTTGGCCCGTCTTGACCTTCATGACTGAATCTAACACTAACATCATAAAACAAACATCATTTTGACTATGAATTCATTACAGTACAATCTTTTAATTATTAAAAAAAATCTAGCCTATATCTTCTAAAAAACAAATCAATTGAGCATTCAAGCCTGTTACTGCATGATTTTACTTCTATTATGGAAAAACATTCCTAATGAAGTAACATTACATAGCATGCCATGAAGTAAATGTCTGATTTCCTCAAACTGTAGTGTTGACTGCATTTGTCAAGCAAAACCATTCAAAAGAAAAATGATAAAACTAATATTTTTCTTTAAATTATGGGAGCACAAGTTCGACATTACCTACAAACCAACATTTAACAGACCAAATAAAAATGTTTATTGTAAGAAAACTTAAGTTTAATAATCAACATTTACACTTGATAAAAAAAAATATATAAAAATTCTGACCCTATTTTGTAGCCTACCATATTCTTGGAAAGTGTCTAATGAAAACAATTAGGTTCTCCAACAGAATATTTGACACTGAAGGTTTTGATCAGTGATAATGACGAATTAAACAGGTTTTTTTTTTTTTATGTATTCCAATGTGTTGAGGGTGAAGTCTGGTAATTCCTGTGCTAAACCCTTAGTATGGATTGATTGCCCTTTGACTTTAACTGGGTCTAGTATCACACAGACTCAATTTTAAACAGATCCAGCTAAAATTCAGTTTCTGCATCACAAATAACAATGCAGTGGTTTTAAGACACCAGACCTCCTTCATACCCATTCTGGCAGCTTGACAATCCTGAGGCTTATAAGACGATTTGAGTCAAAGCTTTAATAACACTTTTAAATGTTTAACTCAAGTGGTCTTTGACCCTTTTTGAGTGACCTTCAAATGAAACACTGGAGTGCAATTCAGTGGTAATCAACTTGTTGCATCATGTCTAACAGTTCAACCATCAAGCCAAAACAAGGTGTAACTGATATTAAAACCAAACACACTCGCACATTTGTTTTGTTTTTTTCTCCATAATCAAAAAAGCAGTTGTGACATTAGATTAAAGTATACAGATGAGCTGATTATTGAGCAATCTGTTTATGAGAAGTGAAAGCATGCTGCAATCTTTAAAAAAATTCAAGTTTTTCACTCGTACGAAAGGGGGTCTTCGCAGTGATTCCACAGAGTTTTGGTTCTTAAAAGAAGTCATTTTTTCTTAGCGTGTAGAACATTTTATCAATCTAAGGAACCCTTTTCCATTATAAAAACAAAACAAAACATTTTGTCCAATGGAAATATTCCATGAAGGTTCTTCATGAAACCACAGATGTCAATAAAGAAACTTTATTTTCTTTTATTTTTAAAAGAACCGTTTGTAGAATGGAAAGATTCTTAATGTTAAAGGTTCTTCATGAAACCACAGATTTCCTTTTTAGAACCTTTATTTTTAAGAATGCTTATGTCCATGAGGAACCTTCAACATCCATGGAATCTTTCCATTCTACAAACAATTCTTTAAAAAAAATGAAGGTTCTTTACTGCCACATTGATGGTTCCACGAAGAACCTTTAACATGCATGTAACCTTCCCGACAAAAAGTTCTTTAAAGTGGAAAAAGGTTCTTTAGATTTTTTAAATGTTCTTCACACCAAGAAGAGAATGATTCTTTTAAGAACTATTCACTGAAAGGTTCTTTAGGGAACTAAAAATGGTTCTTCTATGGCATTGTTGCAAAAACCCCTTTTCGAAACTTTATTTTTTAAGAGTGATATAATGGAAAAATGTTCTTTCAATTATTAAAACGTTCTTCACATCGAGTTATAAAATGGTTCTTTTAAAAACTGTTCACTGAAAGGTTCTTGAAAGCAAAAATGGCTCTTCAACCATCTGAAAACCCCTTTAGGAAGTTTTATTTTGAAGAGTGATGATGTGTCCCGTATGATAGCGCCACAGACACATATCATCACCCATTCCTCACATTCCACTATTTCCCAGCAACCTTTGCAAACGTGCCCCGACAAGTCACAGTCATTACTGAAGTGGTTGAGGTGCTCCAGAGTTTCCCACCTCAATGGATAAACAGGGCTGAGATTTAACCCCAGGCGTATTCCTAAATTTACGCTACTGCTTTGGTGTAAAACCGACTTTGATAAACAAAATTTCATCGCAGACACTTTTTTATCACTAAAGAGCTGATTACGACACATTTACAGCCTTCACATGTAGAGTTTCTTGTGAAGTTATGATAATAGAGTAACCTATGCTTCTTCAACTTCACAAAGTCAACAACAGCATATTCGTATAGATATGGGGCAAGTACAGACACCTTGTGTAGCGACTCGCCCCGCTTATATAGGCCCGATGATTCAGAGCCTATAGGGTTGATTCACGCAGTTATGTTATGGACTGTCTCAGCAATGCTGCCGAGAGACACGTTTAGCAGTCCTGGGCCCCTCTCCTGACCATCCCCCACCCCTGGACTTGCCTCCCTACATTCCACTGAAAACATTCCCTTCCCCCTGCTAACCTGCGACAAGGGAGGGTCCGACCCGTGCACCTTTATTCAGCCCTTTAGCTCCAATCGAAGCCTCGCGCGATGACGCGATAACTGAGGGAAATGGCAAGGCCGCCGAAACAAATTAGGCCTGAACTCAGAACTCAAGTCCAAAAAGAACTGATTTTATTTCTCAAACACATGCGTTACAACAGTTACAGATGGAGGTTAACCTACGTAAGGGGACAATCCGCCACTTGTTTCCTAGGGGTCCCGTGAGCGTTGAGCATATCAGAGGCTAAATGCTATGACAATACTATTGCACTGCTAGAATGGATGGTACAGTAGTGCAACATCGTCAGAGCAGCTCACCTCAGCACATCAGCACGTGGACAGAGGGACAGCCATCTTCTCTGACCACCGACTGCTTGCCCTCAACTCCTCATATTAACTCGACCTGGCATCTTCCACCTTATCAGCAAGAATATATATTTAAAAAACGAATAAATATTTTTCTAATTATTTTCAATAAAAATAATAATTTACATAGGCCTTTTGCAATATAGATAGATAGATAGATAGATAGATAGATAGATAGCAAAAGGCCTATGTAAATCATTATTTTTATTAAAATGTATATATATAACTTTAAACAGTATGACCAACAATATTATTACAATACAATAATAATACTAATAATAATTAATTTAAAAATGATTTACACCGTTAATTTTATATATAAATGAGCAGTCACAGTTAAATCAAAATGCAGGCAGAACAACTAAAAACAATAACAATATTAATACAACATCAACAATATTAATAATACTGTTTACACTACATTTAAGGTGTCTTTGTTACAGAGTAATTATACATTTAGGTACAGAGTATTATTAATTAACAACATGCACTTACTATAGGGTTAGGATTAGGGTTACTGCATGTAATTATGCATAATTTACTGTTAGGGTTAGTTAGTTAGTAGGTTACGTGTAATAAGGACATTGCAAAATAAAGTGCTACCATATTATTTTTTCGAAATATTTCCCATTTAAAAATAGCAATTTATATATTATATATAAAATAAAATAATTAAATATTATTGACAATTATTATTTACATGCTTGCTTGTTTTATATGGCCATATATGGGCATTTTACAATAAGTTGTGAGTCAATAATAATAATAATAATAATAATAAAAGCAAAAATAATACTTTCTTGAAACTGATTTGAAGCAAGTTTGTTTAAAGTTTGCTGTAAATTTGTACAGTTTGTCAGCTTTCATGGTTTTCCAGGTTTCCAGGGCTCCGCATGTTAAATAATGTCAAAGCAGGTGAGGGGTGAGAAGGGAAGGCAATAGAGGGAGGTGGAGGGCTCTGTTCTATCAGCCAATGCCCTTTTAATATTGCACTGCTCTTCTGATTGGCCAGTAGTACAACAGAAAAAGGGCAATGGACAAAACATGGTCAATATAACCATACAATCCTTCCCCTCATTACATTTGATCAGATGCATTGCATTTAGACTTATGTATATTTGATTTTATATAGTTAATGCACATCAAAGGAAAGAGCAGCTTATTCTGAGCAGTTCATCTAAGTATTCCTCACAACCAAATAATTAGTCTACAAACGGTGACTAAATGATGGCAATATCCGCT